GCCAGCATTACCAAGATTTAAATTGGTCTGAATATTCCAAGTATTGAATGCAGTGTTTTTCTTTAGGATGAGTAGGGGAAGTGGGGGACGGGGGCGGGAATGGGTTATCGCGATGGCGGTAATTTCTTCAAATAATGAAGACATGGTCTTATTTTATGATATTAGAGTCCTCAGAGAAGATCCAATACTTAAGGAATGTCGTATTATTTGCAGGAGGGCACCTGAAAGGAAGCAGATTTGGATAGTTTTCCCAGTCCTACACGGCTGATTTATCTGGTGAAGGGATCCGGGCAGTGTCTTAAGAACTGCTCAAAGTTCCCAGATACCCAGCGCTGGGGGGTGTGGAGAAGGCGAGGATGGCGACAGACAATACCTAGGAAGCGGCGGTTTTCTTTAATTGCCCCCAGAATATCCGTAGAGGTAGCAGGGACTCAATAAAGAAACACAAAGGAGACGAACACTGCGCGATCGCCGGGGTCCGCGGCTGCTCTGTGGGGCCCAGCGCGCCCCCGGTCGCGGCTCCCCGGCCGCCAGCGCACCTTTCCACCTCCAGGGGAAATATTTAGACTGGAAACTCGAGTGCACCTTGTTTTTCTCTTTGGTTTATGAGTGACCCAGAAGGCTTCTAGCTCACAATCGCACGATTTCAGGACGAGGCTGCCGGAGAAGCGCTGGCGACCGAGGATGGGGGAAGGACAAAGAGGAAGAGGAGGTCTGGGAAGGAGAAAGGAGCGGCGGAGGGGCGGGGAGAGGAGGGGAGGAGGGGGTGGGGAGAGGAGGAGCGGGGAGCAGAGGGAGAAGGGAAGCCGGGCGCCGGGCCCCTCGCGGGGACGCCGGGCGGGGCGCGGGCGTGCCGGAGCCTGCGGGACCCAGATCCCGCTCCGGAGCCAGCCCTGGGAGTGGCCAGCTTGAACCCGAGGGCCCCGCAGACCGTTACTCCGGCCCCCGCCCGGGGCGGGGCTCGCGGGGGCGCGGCGCAACCCAACCCGCACAGCCGCGTCCCCAAACACCACCGAGGAGGGAAAACAGACGGAGAAAAAGGACAAAACAGAAAAATGCAAACGGGGGAGGGAGCTCACCGCCTCTCGAGCTTTAAATTGATTTCTTTGCCTTACAAAAAGGGAGAAAGGGAAAAGGAGAGCAGAACCCACGTGCCGGGAAGGTTGTTGTCTTCAAGCGCCACCTTCCGTCGGCCAGGGCCGCCGCGGGGCTACCGGGCGGGCTCGGGGCCGGGACGCCGGGGAGCGGCCGAGCCCCGCGGGTGACTAGCCGGGGAGCAGCTGCGCCCACCCCGGGGCAGGCCGGGCGCGGCGGACTCCGAGCCGGGCAGAGGCCGCAGTCTCAGGCTGGGCGCGTTCCCGAGTGTGTGCACACGGGGAGTGAGCGCGCGCCGTCCGCTGTCGCCGTCGGGCCTCCCGGGGACTGGGCACAAAGGCGCGCGGGGCCTCTCCCGGGACCCGGTCCTTGGTTCGCGCCGGCGCCTGGACCAGCCCGGTTCGCCCCTGGCCGCACGCTCCCCGTGGTGCCGCGCGCCGCTTCCGAGCATCCCGGGGAGAGGCGCATCTGTGCACACACGCGGATTTTTTAAAAATAACATATTTCGAGACATGCCTCCTCTCCCCCCCACCCCCATCTTTGCAAAAGCAGCCCGGAGGGCGGGGTGGAGGGGCGGGGCCTCCGAGTTAATAAAGGGAGATGGGCGGAGCCGGCCCCCAGCCATTGGCTAGCCGGGGGAGTGATGTCACCCATATGACACCGTGATAACTAGTTGAGAGAGAGACCTCAACTTTTTGCAGAAGGAGCGCGCGCGCCTGGGAGAGCTCGGGGTCCGGCTCTTGCGGTGGGAGCCACGAGCTGGAGAGAGGGGTCCCGGGCTGCCTCGACCGCCGTCGCCACCGCCTCTCCTGTCGCGACCGCAGCTCCCAGCGCGCCGGCGGCCGTCGCCGCCGAAGCCACCGCAGCCGCTGTGTGCAGCCTGGAAGGGGGGGCGGGGGGGAGGGGGGGAGCCGCGAAAGCGGGGTGCCGAGGACTTTGCAACTTGCCCAGGAAGGTGGAGGGGTGGGAGGGGGAGGGGGACCTCCGCACGAGACCCAGTGGCCCGGGTTGGAGCGTCCAGCCCCGCAGCGGATCATGGTGCAGCAGGCGGAGAGCTTGGAAGCGGAGAGCAACCTGCCCCGGGAGGCGCTGGACACGGAGGAGGGCGAATTCATGGCTTGCAGCCCGGTGGCCCTGGACGAGAGCGACCCAGACTGGTGCAAGACGGCGTCGGGCCACATCAAGCGGCCGATGAACGCTTTCATGGTGTGGTCCAAGATCGAACGCAGGAAGATCATGGAGCAGTCTCCAGACATGCACAACGCCGAGATCTCCAAGAGGCTGGGCAAGCGCTGGAAAATGCTGAAGGACAGCGAGAAGATCCCGTTCATCCGGGAGGCGGAGCGGCTGCGACTCAAGCACATGGCCGACTACCCCGACTACAAGTACCGGCCCCGGAAAAAGCCCAAAATGGACCCCTCGGCCAAGCCCAGCGCCAGCCAGAGCCCGGAGAAGAGCTCGGCCGGCGGCGGCGGCGGGAGCGCGAGCGGCGGCGCGGGCGGTGCCAAGACCTCCAAGGGCTCTAGCAAGAAATGCGGCAAGCTCAAGGCCCCCGCGGCCGCCGGCGCCAAGGCCGGCGCGGGCAAGGCGGCCCAGGCCGGGGACTACGGGGGCGCGGGCGACGACTACGTGCTGGGCAGCCTGCGCGTGAGCGGCGCGGGCGGCGGCGGCGCGGGCAAGACGGTCAAGTGCGTGTTTCTGGATGAGGACGACGACGACGACGACGACGACGACGAGCTGCAGCTGCAGATCAAGCAGGAGCCGGACGAGGAGGACGAGGAGCCGCCGCACCAGCAGCTCCTGCAGCCGCCGGGGCAGCAGCCGTCGCAGCTGCTGAGACGCTACAACGTCGCCAAAGTGCCCGCCAGCCCCACGCTGAGCAGCTCCGCGGAGTCCCCCGAGGGCGCAAGCCTCTACGACGAGGTGCGGGCCGGCGCGACCTCGGGCGCCGGGGGCGGCAGCCGCCTCTACTACAGCTTCAAGAACATCACCAAGCAGCACCCGCCGCCGCTCGCGCAGCCCGCGCTGTCGCCCGGGTCCTCGCGCTCCGTGTCCACCTCCTCGTCCAGCAGCAGCGGCAGCAGCAGCGGCAGCAGCGGCGAGGACGCCGACGACCTGATGTTCGACCTGAGCTTGAATTTCTCCCAAAGCGCGCACAGCGCCAGCGAGCAGCAGCTGGGGGGCGGCGCGGCGGCCGGGAACCTGTCCCTGTCGCTGGTGGATAAGGATTTGGATTCGTTCAGCGAGGGCAGTCTAGGCTCCCACTTCGAGTTCCCCGACTACTGCACGCCGGAGCTGAGCGAGATGATCGCGGGGGACTGGCTGGAGGCGAACTTCTCCGACCTGGTGTTCACGTATTGAAAGGGGCGCCCGCTGCTCGCTCTTTCTCTCGGAGGGTGCAGAGCTGGGTTCCTTGGGAGGAAGTTGTAGTGGTGATGATGATGATGATGATAATGATGATGATGATGGTGGTGTTGATGGTGGCGGTGGTAGGGTGGAGGGGAGAGAAGAAGATGCTGATGATATTGATAAGATGTCGTGACGCAAAGAAATTGGAAAACATGATGAAAATTTTGGTGGAGTTAAAGTGAAATGAGTAGTTTTTAAACATTTTTCCTGTCCTTTATTTGTCCCCCCTCCCTTCCTTTATCGTGTCTCAAGGTAGTTGCATACCTAGTCTGGAGTTGTGATTTTTTTCCCAAAAAATGTGTTTTTGTAATTACTATTTCTTTTTCCTGAAATTCGTGATTACAACAAAGGCAGAGGGGGCGGGGCGGGGGAGGGGAGGTAGGACCCGCTCCGGAAGGCGCTGTTTGAAGCTTGTCGGTCTTTGAAGTCTGGAAGACGTCTGCAGAGGACCCTTTTGGCAGCACAACTGTTACTCTAGGGAGTTGGTGGAGATTTTTTTTTTTTTCTTAAGAGAACTTAAGGAACTGGTGATTTTTTTTAACAAAAAAAAAAAAGGGACCATTGCAACTTTCGTTAATTTAATTTTTTTTTTTTTTTTTTTTTTTTTTTTTTTTTTTTTTTTTTTGGAGGGAGAAAACTGATGTCTTCTATGCATCCGATTCTTAACAAAACTGCAGGGAGCTTGAAAAAATGCAGACTGTACAAACGCTTACAAAAAAAAAAAAAACTGTGAACTGACTTAAGATCAGAGTTTACTTTTCAGATCAAATTGTTTATGGTTTTACAAATGTGATTTCTACTTGCCAACTTTTTTTTGTAACTTGTTCCCTTATACCTCCTTGATTGAATACCAGACAGCCTAGACCTCAGTACAAAAGGTATTGAAACATTTTTGATACATAACAGACCTCAGTCTTTTTTAAAAATTAATATATTTTCAGGCGTATTTTTGTACAGTGAAAAGGGAACATTCTTGCTGTGTTTTTTCAGTAAGACTTTCAGGCACTTCTTCCCTTTTGATTTCTTTTTTTTTTCCTCTGTTTTTTAGCATGCAAGTATGTTGGTACGTTATGTCCTGGTTTAAAAAGGATTAAAATTTTAAAATAATCCTTGCATCTAAAGGCCTTGTGGTTTAAAAAAAAAAAAGCAAACTTTTTTTTTGTACAGCTATAGTAGAGATTTGTTCAATATTTGTAGGTAAAGATTTATTGAAAATGGTGATATAGACCTCAGAGCTGTTATCTTAGTTTAAAGATTGTATATGTACTGTACTATAGTAGGACTTTATGTATCTCATACGCTGTGATGTGGATGGGGCCCCAGATGGAAGGTTTGAAACTGGATTCTCGATTTTTAGCAAAAAAGAAAAAAAAGGCACATAGTTTAAAAAGTTTCTCATTTTGTGCAATATAATCTAAATAAAGTACAGACCATCTGCATATTTTGTAGCAAATGGTGGCAAAGCAGACTCAATGCACTGTCGACATCATTGCCTGTTTTTTTTTTTTTTTTTTTTTTTTTTTTGTGCTGGAAGTCTGTATCTTGACAATTTTAATAAATCAGCTGGAACTGATAGAAACTCGCATCGCCAATAGTCTCTATGGAAGTCAAACTGGAGGTCCCGTTGTCGCAGAGCATTCGGTGGTGAGGCTGTTGTGTGCGCGGATGGGGGGAGGTGGCAGGAGAGAATTCTACATTTAGGGGGTTAGGCTGAAAAGTGTTCAATTGGCAGGCTGATTTCTTTTACCTCTTCCGCTGGTTGTGAAAGACAGGGGAAGGGTATTCTTTCTCTCTGCCCTCCCTTTCCATCTCCAGCTCCCCATTTCCTTTCTCACCTCCTCCACTCCCTGCCTCTTCTCCCCACCCACCCTGGCGGGCGGGCAGCGCGGAGGCTCGGAGCTGGCCGGGGAGGGGCGGATGGAGGGGCCTGGATTGCCAGCTCGCTTGGTCGGGGTCCTGTTAGCTGGGGCTTGTGTGTTCTCTGCGGCGGGCCGCGTCCCCGCTGAACCTCGCGGTGACAGCCGCCCTGGGCAGCGAGCGCTCGGGGCACTTCTATCCCCGCCTCTCAAAGGGTGGGGACAGCCGTTTCCAGATTTGAATTTTTTCTGTTCTTTATTTTTAACGCTGCATCTTCGCGTGTGCTCAGAGCTGGTTGTTGGCGGAGAACGCGGCGCAGTTTTTGACCTCTAGCGGTGAAGGGGGAAGGGGAAGAGAAGTGGTCGGTGTCTGTTTCCTTCTGTCCCCCGGGGCCGTGGAGCTGTCGGAGGGAAGGAGGACGGTGCGGGGTGGCACGGAGCGCGGGGCGCGGCGGGACCCAGGCTGGAAGCGGGAGGGAGGTGGGAGTAGGGGGAGGACGCGGCAGGCTGGCCGAGGGCACCCCGAGGAACATGGCATGGCCTCTGTGAGATCCGAGTCGCGGCCTCCGGGATGCTGGAGAGGGCCGAACCACTGGTGAGGGCGCGGGGAGCAGGGGGTGGCAGGGCGCCTGGGCGGTCGCCCGGGACGCAAAAGGCAGAGCCCTGCCGCTCCGCGTCCCGGTGCCTGGCTCTTCTTGCCTCGCCACCGCGTGCTCCTGGGCGCGCCCCGCCGCGGGCCCTGGAGGCGCATGGAGACTCCAGCGCTGGCGTCCCGGGCCCGCGGGCCGGGGAGGGAAGCCTCGGGGCTGCAGTGTGAGAGGAAGAGAGCAAACCCGGGAAGCAGGCGGCCGCCCCACCTGCGCACCCCGGGCCCTCACCACGCCCTCCCCGCGCGCCGGCTCAGGGGCTGCCCCAGAATCAGCTCCCCGGGGGCCGCCGCAACAAAGGTGGATCCCCATCTTGATTGTTCTCCAGGAGCCTCTTGGGGACTCGGGCGGCGGCGCGGGCGCGACCCATCCAGCTGGCTCTCCCTGCTCGCTGAGCACCTTTTGCCTGTCCACACCCCCTCGCTCCCCACCATTTTTCCTGACCGGCCTGTGTCCCCAAGCCCTCGCGGCAGGCCAGGGCAGGCGATCGCGGCCGGGCACGCGCGCCCCGGGCTCCCGCCCCCCTTCTGAGCCTCCGCCGCCTCTTTCCGCTGGGGCTAGGAGGAGGGAGGCTGGGAGGCTGCTCCGGGCCCAGCGTGCCAGCCCCGGAGTTCAGCCTCTTGAGCTGCGGCGCCTGCAGCGGGGGAGGATTGCAGTGGCTACTTGAAACTCGCTGCAAAATCACCACGACTCTTTCACCTACTGAAATGATTGACCGAGGTTTGGCCTTCCATTTTTACTGAGATTTGGCGAGACCGAATGGAAGCGTCCGCACAGTAACTGCAGCTGCTAGGCCAAAGGGGCCCCAGCGCCCTTCCCTCCTCCCCTCCCGCTTGCTTTTGCCTTACTAGATCTTACCACCACCTCACCCCCGGCCCCCCGACTGCGAACTCGGGCCTCTCACCCGCCCCCCAGCCTCCCGCTCTGGGCGAGCCTCCTCCCCAGCCCCCACCCTTGGGATGCGAAGCCAGCAAGCTTTTGCTGCAGATGGACAGATTTATTTTCTGTGGCTTTTTCCTTTCGATAAACCATCAGATTTCAGTAGTACACTTGGGAAAAGAAGGGGCTGATGGCGTTAACCAGGTTCTCAATATAGAACTGGATTTCTGGAGTTGTTTACCTTACCCCTCACCCCCTCAACATGTAGACTAACGCAGCCTTTGGTGGTACATTTATTTTAGCCACGAATAATTAAACCAGCGGTTTACAATTGACACTTGCTCCGTGCTGGTGATTTTACGTGGCAGCCCTCTGCTGCAGCTCCGAAACTTGTTGACAACGTAAACCCATTGATAGGTTGATCTATGTATTTTGAAAACCTGAAAACTTGGCATGTATTTTATGTTTTAATCATAGATGAATCTTGGACATTTTCTGTGGTGAAGTAGAAACTTTAAGTAAATTAGTAAAGTAATAATTTGGTCTCAGAATGGGAAGAGATAGTCAAGATTTTTTTTTTAAAGCCATGTGGCCTAACTTGATAGAAAAATAAAAGTAATTGGTTGGCAACCTAAATTTAAAACCTGTTAGAACTCAGGACAGGCGCTTCAATGCGCTTTTTAACAATATTTAAGGCTGTTTTGATGAGTGCATTGTGAGAATCATCTTAATAAATTCTTTTTTGAATGTCTAAAACATAATATAATATACAAGGTATTCTTGCCACTGGATAGTCTTCAATAAAAGTTTAATTGATTATTTTTTTTGTTGGTCTCTTAAGTAAGTCTTATTTTTAACTAAGTATTGACAGAATATCTTAAAATGGTAACCTGGGGGTGGGGGGTGGGCGCTGTGTGCACGGCAGCCTAGCCAGTGGGGATCCTGCTGTTTATTATAAGTAGTTCACAGACTCTGATGGCATTTTGGTAAGCTTTCCATCTTTAAGAAATTGAACCAGCATTCTCTTATTAATTCTTTAAACTGTGGAAGTAATTTCCAGTTCTTACACTCTGATATGCATCCCTTTTATTTAAAAAAAAAATGCTAATAAAAGGCAGTGTACTTAAACTGTGCTTTGCAAATATTATGTATGTTATGAATGACTACAGACACTGGGCAAATTATTTGTAGAATGATTATCCTTTAGCTAGAGAAAGAAATCATTACAACTCTTTTGGGCAGAGATGTTTCTTTTTAATGTTAATCAAGGGGAAGTGATTTAAATATGCATAAATGTAGCAGTCAGGGTGATTTAGTTGTTTTTTTCGTGAAAGAAAAGACTTAAAAGACAACACTTATTTTTCTCTTCTCTGGGAGTTGAAATCATAATCATCTGATACTAGTACAGTACAAGAAATTTATATTTGTTTTTTACTTCAGAATTTAAGTGACTTTTGCCCAAGGAATTTGAGAAATAAGGCAAATAAGTTGCTCTATTTTAAAGTAGTCATTCAATATAAATATATTATATCAATCTTAACTTTCTTATTCTCTGATATGATTAATAATATGTATATTCTTACTTTTCTTCTAATGGGCATATGTATCCTTGTGGACACTTTGAGAGAGATTTTCTTGGACTCTCCCATTTATAGAATCTTTATACTCTTTTACTGTGTGGTTCCCTGCTTTTAACAGATTTCTGAGGCAAATATATTTGTGCTTTTTTCTTATGTAGGAAGACCAGCGAAAATAGTTTACTGAGTTGTCAATTTTATCAGTAGATAAGAAACTTTCTTTATTACAGTTTCAGGGAAGATTTTTTCAGGATATTTCTCAGTTATTCTAAGGGCCAAATTTTATAAAATTTCCATTAGGAATGTCAGTTTCAAATACCCTTTGTATAGCCTAAGCCTGTGAGGATAACGAGAATGAGCCTTATCTATCCTAACACAGGAATTTACAAGTTCCCAAAGTTACCGTCTCCATGTAACTCTTGACATACTTTTCTGAGATTTGGCTTATTTTTATTATTGGTTCTTTCTCACTGTTCATTCTATTTGATTTATTCTACAACATCCCCTTTTATTTGATGATCTGGAAAATTCTGCTCTTTGATAACAACTCAGGATTTTTTTTGTTCAGTTTTGTTTTTTGCCCCTTCCTGTGGAGCCTACGTTTTCAACCACAATAAAGATGAAACGAAATTCATGAAACTGAGCTCTCTTCCATTTTACTTTCTGCTGGCTTTTTTTTCCCCTTGATTCCTACCATATCTTCATTTTTTTCATTGTATTTATTTAACACTACCTATATCCATTAGCTGCCTAATTAGTTGTATCTGTTCCATGTGGATGCAGTGAGTTTATAAGAGAATTTCACAAACAAGTAGTTTTTTAGTGAACTTAAAATAAACAGAATTTTAAAGGAGACCTATTTTTATACTCAATAAAAGCACAAAAGTGCAGAAAGTATAAAATGGCTTACAAAGGGAGACACAAGTTCATAATGTTCCGTGTATAAAAGTAATAACTCTATTGGGTAGAGATATTCGTACAAGATCTAGCACCTCTGCCAGTGCACAGATAGGACTGTTTTAAATGATTTGGGAACTTCTAGTTGCCTGCAGTTGCAAACAGAGAACTTCTCTACAGAGAAACAAACCACTAAAAGCAATATGATCGAGTTGAGATGTGGTTTCCAACGAGCAATTGGTGAATTTAAGCAACCTGGATGTGCATACGTGGAGGCTCCCGTCTCACTGTTTGATCAAACTTCTTTTATGTAGTCACGTAGACTCGATTTTCTCTGCTGTGAAAATGACTAAATAAAGCAATATGACAAAAACTTTAAAAAGTCATAAAAAATAGGATTTCCTCTAGGCTCCTCGAAGAGATTTCTTTAATACGATACTTGTCTTACTTTCTTAGACACATTACATTTCCCCTTCCAAAAAAAAAGCAGAACAACTGGAAGTAATTTATCACATAAAGAATTTTGATCAAATAGATATTGACAAAGGGCCCTCTGTCACATTTTTCTTCATCCAGCTTTTGTTCAAAAACAGTATGCCTCCTCCCTTGAATCACATGGGGAGAAACGTTATACGCCATTCTCATTCATTTCCCATTTTGTCTACTTTTACTCTTGTACATATGTTGTGGGTTTAAGAGTCTTTTGCATTTGTTCTGTGACACCTTTTTTTGAATTGACTGTTTTAAAACGGAGGCCTATTTTTTCCGGTTTGGGACTCCTAGTGGTTATGGCATCCCATAATGCTTCGTGACGGCCACCAGGACAGAACCACCTGATGTTTTAGAGCAGTTTTCAGCATGACACTGTTAACAAGTGTGTATTTTCCAAGGCCACATGAAACTTACTTTCTTAGCCACTCCAGGTTTGGGAGCAGAAAAGCTGAAAAACCCTTTTGTGTAGAAGTCTGAGTGGTTTGTGGGGGGGACCTTTTTTAGAGTTTGCATGCCAGCGCACGACCTATTGCTGTGAAACAGAGAGAGGGTAAAGCTACCTGAGGCAGTGCGCTGGAGGATGAAGTGTTTGATAGCACTAGGGGGGAAAGAAAATGCATGGCAAAGTTTCGTCTTCTCGTAGACTATCTAGCATGCAGAGTGTAGTGTGTTGAAACGGTGTATGACATTGCTGTATCAAAGTTGTAAAATTAAGCATTATTTATTGAAAACTATGTATTTTTTTGTAAAAACCTGATCACATAGAGAATATCAGTGGCTTGTGCTTGTGCTTCAATCGAACCAGCTTCTTGACCCACCCCCCCTTGGTATGCAGTGTTAATGCTCAGGGTTGAAAATAGTACACTCCGATGTCTCTTTTGCAAGAGTTTTTCACAGAGGATTACATTTGTTCAAAAGACTCCAATAAAATTGTGTGATCAATCTTCACTTGTGGTTTTTATGTGACTTTTTTCTAGTTTTGCATTTGATAACTGCTGTTTAATTCTGAAAATCTTGTCTCAAACCAGATGTTAGGGACAGGCTTGAAGACTCCTGATGTCTCAGCACCCAACGCGGCTGTCAGCCTCGGCAGGAGGAAACCCACGGAAAGGGAGTTTTCTGGGCAGGTTGGAGAGCTGCTGACAGTGGGAATGCGTATGGTGATCACATCTCGATATATTAAACTGGCCGATAGAGCCAATAAAACCACAGGCAAAGTGTAGAGGGGTAGATTAACATGTTTTGTCAGAAACGTTTGAAGTAGAAAACGAAGGCAAAATATCAGGGGCAGCTGCTGCTATTGAATTCAATGCCAGCAAACTCCGTTCCTTGGTGTCCTTTTTTTCCTACAAACAATTTACAGTGTAAATGTATTTTGACATAGAAATCATTCTGTATTGAGATTCTTGATATAAAATGCTTTTATGAAAGCCTGTAAGTGATCCTTGGAATTATTATCAGATTTTT